GAAAAATAGATTTGTTGAGTTTTATTCGAATTCAACGTCAAATTGTTTCTTCTAAACCATAATGCCGCTTTTCCTTGGGCCAGATTAATTTCATTTAGAAGCATTTGTCTAATATCCTTACCAGACGTGCTAAGGGTGGTGTCATCAGCAAAAGCAATACAGCCATAGGGTGACATGTAAGTGAAGAGGTCATTGATATAAATTATAAAAAGGAGAGGGCCCAAAACAGATCCCTGTGGTACTCCACATTTGATGAGTTCCAACTCAGAAACATTATTCGAATCAAGTGCAACACATTGATGTCTATTTGATAGATATGATTCAACCATCCCCTATTGGCCGCGTTGGATAAGACAAGTTCTGCATTGTAACAGAAGACGGATAAGGTGATTTTGCTATGACAGTAGATTTTAAGCATTCAATTCTTTCCGGGATAACGCAAGTTTTGCCAGATATTGCCACTACCAGTCTGTGGGGTTTCAGGAGAATGACAATATACAATATCCAACTCATTTTTCACCAAAAGTGCATAAGACGAGTTCTGCTTCTAGACGCCTCAATTGTCCTCTTCCAAACAGCTACCAAAATTCCACTATTCAATCCACAAAAATGATTCAATCATGGAAAGATTTCTCATAGTATCTAGATTGACTGATAATTGTTTTCAAATTCCCAAGTGCCAATAACAAACCGATATTTCAACTCAAGTAGAACGATGATTCAGGTGTTCATTACAGAATAGCTCAAAAGGTTCGGACGCCTACCATGCTAAAGCTATCAACTGTGGATATATGCTGTCACTGACTTTTTTGGAGGAAATTTGATTGCATACAAATCGGTGTAATGCAAATCCACTTGATCTCGAAGGGTTTCAGCAGCGTTTTTATCTGAAGATGATCTGAACGCACTTTTTTTAGAAATCCTATCACTCGAGTGTGTACGCCTATTCGGTATCAATTATTTACTGATGGAGAGTATTTATTTCAAGTATAACGTTAAAATCATAAAAAAAATCCTGGATATATTTCCAAACTATCAAAATCGAAAAGAACAAAATACGTGGAGTTCATATGAACATATCCAAACAAAAATAATAAAAAAATATGTATTTCAACAATGAGAGATATAAAAATGAATATAACAAACTGAATAACAAAAAATCCATAACAACGATATATGAAAAGGAAAGGAAAAAAACGTTGAATCCTCATACAAACCACAGATCAAAACCAAACAATCAAATCTTTTATTTTCTTCCATATCCTCCTATTTTCATCAGATTTTTTCAGTTTCTAACTCATCGCGTCTTTCTTATTGTGGGTCCGTTCTGTTGAGTGGTAGATTTTTATTGAAATAAATCGGTTGATTTCGAAATTTTGTCGGGAACGCATCATCTGACAGTTTTGGTCGAGGTAGATCGAATATTATTAATGTCCCATCTTCTTCTGTACTGATCTGTGCTGAATTTCTCATCGAAACGCGAAATCGTGATACAGTGAAATTTGGGTAGGTAGGTATAATGGCCCATTTTTTACGCGCTATTTATATTTAATTTCTTTCGGACTCATTGTAGGTAACTCTGAAATTTTTTCACTATTCAATTGGTGCATTACTCTAGTTTGATATACTGAGTTAGTTTTATCTCATTCCGACTCCGAATTTGCAAAAAAATAGTATTCTGTAGTACAACGTCCTCTGATTTTCAATAAAATGGAATTTTTCCACAACGCCATAACTCGGTATTGATTCATCGTATTGAATAAATTTTTTCACCAAAAGTTGAGGAATTCGTTGGGGATCATTTTGTCTCGATTGAGTGTGCTTTCAAAAGTTCTAGTAGATAAGCTATAGCCTATCAATTACGAAAGCACCAGTACGAACTGATGTGAAATCTTAACCTACTAGTGTGACGTCAGCGTCGAGAGAGAGGGGATAGACTGATAGAGTAGGCCCTGGCTCATCCCCAACGAATCAGGATTCTTATAGTAGAGCAGTTGGAGGAATTGGGGTGGAAATAATTTCCACAAAAACGCAGTTTTTATTTTCTGAAGCCTCAGTCGACCCCTCACACTATATTAGAAATGAAGATGCATTCTCCCATGCAAAAATGTTTCAATGAAACTTTTCATATTTCAGGTGCCCAAACCGAAATGATTGTTTCACAACTCAACACATGTTCCGCTTCTTATGTTAGGATCTTCAGGATAAGATTCAAACGAATTCCATAATCTTCCTAAAAATGATAATATAGTTAGCAGATCTCAAAATTCGTGCCGAGGTGTGAAACAATCATTATGGTATGTCATTGAAACCATTCTCTGTGATCGTGAATGATAGGTTCCATTATTTGATATATTATTCCAGGTTTACCTGAATATAGTGGATCAAAAGCATCGATGGAAGATAGCAAATGTATTTTATTTTCGTCAAGTACTGATGATAGTTCGAATTGTGTTGAATTGACTACTAAAGGTGTCCAAGGTATTATAAGTGCTAGCAAGTAGCAGCAAGAAAAAAGAATTAAACTCTTGGATCCATCGTCTAATTGTTCACGTCGAATGTCGTCGTTTGTACATAAACCCGAACAAGATGATGAATGATCTCAGGTTTACATCATATCCTGATAGAGCAGCATCAACTAGTAGCAGCAGCAGCAGCAGCAACAGAGCATTGTGATCTGAGCTGCCGACATTCGCATTCGAAGATAATTGCTTGATGTGTGGCCAATTCATCAAGAAAACTGGGAAAATAATTGAACTTTTATTAATGTGTGTGATGCAAGAAACAATTTTTGATCATCAAATGTCTTTGCACGCCTTCTTTACGTTATCGATACTTGCCAGCAGCAGATGCTCTGTATAATCAGAAACGTAGTGTGAATTTTGGAAAAGGCGACTCTATTTCTAAGAAACTTGCAGGTGACTTAAGGAAAATGATGAACCAATTTCAGTTCAGGAGTTTCTGGACAAAATGGCAGAGGTGCTGCCAGAAAATATCGAATTGTTCGTCGTATGCATAAACAATTAGAAGAATATTTCTCGGATGACATTATGATATTGAGACAAAAAGGAGGAGCTAATATGATCGTGACAGGAAAAACAGTTGCCAATATAATTTGTGATTATCAGCGACAAAAGTGTTCAGAAGATCCAGATGCTGAAAAATTTCGGATAGTTGAAGCAACAGCTAAACTGATTAAGAATTTCAATCAAGTTGATGAGAACATCCTTAGAGTTTTATTCCCTACCAGAAGAAATAAGTTCCGAGCAGGAAAATAATAAGCTTTCACCCGACATTTTGAAAACATTCTTGGATATAATAATCAACAAATCCAATTGAACAGGAACCAATGAAAGCTGCAAGGCCATGATCTATCATGAGTTCAATTCGTCTAAGTGTTGGTGTGCAGTATCATCGAGATTTTCGATCTCTGTTACTTGTCGATGAACTCCATAAGCTTGGGTTTTCTGAATCATATGATGACGTACAGAAGTTCTTGCGAAACTGAAGTAGATGAACCTTGTGGAACCAGATTTAAATGTCGACGATAAGGAATTTTTTGCACAGTATTGTGCAATAATTGTTCGGGAAGGTATCAATATTCCAATCGAGGAAGTTGAAGATAATGAATGAACTTCTGTTACATGCCAAATATGCCATTTTTATTGGGTTTACGATTTATTCGTATTAACGAATATACGAATATTGGAAACACTGTATTTTTATTTTGCGCAAAGGTGTCGTCATTCTATATTTTCTCATATGAGTTATTCTATGCATTCTGAACTGAAAGAAGCAAAAAAAAATTGTAGGAATTATTTCCACCTGAGACCATTTTTCATCGCATACCTATACTACACTATTAGTATGTTGTATCATGATACTTTTCTTTACTTCCGAGCGAAAATTGGCGAGTAATCGATTTTCCCAATACGAATTTTCTTGGCGTTTTTTGATTTAGCTTCTGCTTCATTTGATTCGCTCCTTCCTGAATCGAAAGACGAATCAATAGAAGTGATGTACCCGAATTCATTTCTTGCCTTGCAAGCTATTGCATAAAAATTTTTAAAGACTTAAGATTTATCACCTAACATTTAGATTATATCACTTATGACAGATGAAACTTGGAAATATCAATGGTTATGTCATATGGAAGCATTCAAGACTTAGGATATACATCTAAGATTGAAGAAGATGACAAACGTTCAACTTAAGTGCGCATCCAAAAGTGACATTTCAATTTCCCGCTATATTCAAAAATTATTCAAAATAACTTGGTTTATTATTCCTGAATATTCGTTTTTTTTTTCTGATAAAAAATATGGATACTGAAGCGGTCTTCAAAAATACAGTAGAATGTCACCTTAACTCTCTTGCCCCCATATTTGGCAAGAGATCCAAGGAGTCAGCCAGTTTCTGTTAGGCAAGACAAAGTGATTCAACACTTATAACCGAGCTGATTACTTTCAAAATGATGTGGAGATATGATGGATATGGGTTTTTAGGGATAAATATCGATTCAATATCATCAGAACATGAAATTTTGATGTCCGACCAGTTTCTAACTTACTGAACTTTGAAAATCTGGTTCTGTATTAGAAACTAGATGTTGAATGTTGAATCTTGAATGCAAATTTTCTTCATGAAGTCACCCTTATCACGATTTTTTTTTTGGTTTCAGGTAGTTGGTCAATTTTTTTAGTTTTTCTGCATATCGGTGTGTAATTTTGCAGCTATTGTGTTAATGAAACTGTATATAAGCAGTATGGATCTAGCTAGAAATTTGGATTGTACCCAATAATTAGGACATGCCAATTATTCTAAAAAACAGCAATTATATCATTGATATTCACCTAAAAACCCATATATCTCAGCAGATATCTCAGAATGCATTCTGAAACGTATTAATTAGTGCATAATAGCTCAATGTCACATTGGACGAATTCATTTTTTTTTTCGCTTGCTCGTTAGGTACCTAGCTGATTGAGTTGATGTACATTCAACATTCATCATAGAGTTACCAACTCATAAAGTTCGAGAATCAGAAGGTATCAAACGACATATCTTTGGTAAGTCATCAATACGTAGACCAGAATAGTTAAAATATATAGAAGAGAGATGAATGATTCTTCAGAATCTGCTGAGTAGATCTGATGGCTTGGGTCTCTAACAGCATATCGAATTTTATCTTCAACTAAAACCTTCCAATCGTCGTAGAATATTCTTCATATAGTATCAGTGGCGTTAAAAATTGACCTCCTTTGTTTTTATAAGGTTCTCTTGAACCATCTGAGGCCATCTATCTTACAAAGGAGTGAATGGACAAAAATCATTCAGTGGGCTTCACCACAACCATACTTCACTGTATGAAAAATAGGGACATGTTCCGAAAATTGAAAGTTCCATCACTGACGATTAGAGATACATACGAGCAGTCTAACTAAAAAAAACAACTGTGTCAGAAAAATGCTAAAACAATAGTAGTAAGCACACAGTGCATTGTCGAAGTACCTACTGAATAAACCCATTTTTGGCCAAACTATATATTTCTGAAGAATTCAGTGGAAAATATCGAATTTGATTTTCAATTTGCCACATTTGAGAGGAAAACTTGAATATACACGGTGGTCCAAGTTTTAGTTTATGACGTCCGCGATCATTTTTTCAAATGAAACACCCTGAAAATTATTCAATTATTGAAATCTTCATGAAATTCCGAATTCAAAAATACAGTGTGTGCGATTCAAAGCCGCCACACCCTCCTAATTTGAAACTTGTGGACCGATTTTCAGAAACGAAAATTCCATGATATAGGTACTTCTCAACGATCCCTATTCGAAAATGAGAACGAATTGAAGATATTCAGATTTTAAAGGCCTATTTTTTCTTAAAGAAAAACACAAATTTCAAAGTCGGTCGACCACACTTTAAATAAAGGAAGGATTAAGAAACAGTGACCGGTTTCGGCACAACGGCCATCATCAGACTGTGCAGTACCTAAAATACATCATTGATGCAGAAATTGAAATTGTCACTATGAACCAGAAACTTGCAATAGTCACAATAAATTCGATCATCGAAAAAGAGATTCCACATATTCAAAAACATCATTAGGCCGAAAAGTCAGGTAAATGAAATGTTTTGTTTAAAACAGTCTGATGATGGCCGTTGTGCCGAAGCCGGTCACTGTTTTTTAATTTTTTTTTTATTTAAAGTGTGGTCGACCGACTTTGGAATTTGTGTTTTTCTTTATCACTTTGGCTGCTGATACCCAGTTTTTATCTCTAAATCACAGTAGTTAATCTTTGGTAGAAGTCCATATTGCTCAAAGTGGATTGAAATATTTCACAGGAAGGAAGGAATGCTCGTAGTCATCTCCACAAACTTCAATGATATTGTTACTAAATCATGAGGGACATGTTTCGGTCTTATGAAAGACCATCTTCAGCCTAATTGAAAGGTCTACAATACAAAAACAAATGATATTGAAGTGAAAGAATTACCTTTTTTATGCTAGACTTACTTGGAGTTGAAAATTTTTTTATGATGCTGATATTCCTTGAAATGTCAATGCCCATAGTCAAGAATTCCAAAGGTTCAGAATAAACGGGTTCTCAATAAATCAAAGGCCCGGTGCCCTGAGAGCGCATTGGTTTTCAGTGAACATTTCATATACCAGAATGGTATATGAAGGGTATTGTCAAAAATTATGTTTTTTGACAACACCATAAACTAACGGGTTTTTTAAAAAGGGGTTCCCCGTGCCCTTATAAAAGCGCTATTCAAAAGAAAATATCAATGAAATTGATGGGGCAAACAGCCAGCACGTGTTTGAATCTAAACTATTCTGGTTAGAAAACACTAAAAAATTATGTCAATTGAAGACATGGACAAGACGTTGACATAGTCAATGTCAATGTCAAGGGATAAAACATGAAATTCTGACCATGAGCATAGGCATATAACAATATCTATTACAACTATTGAAAAAAGTGGATTTAGGAGGAGGGATGCATGTTGGAGAGAGTTGAGCAAACCTGAAAAATCATTGACTATGAAATACCATAAAATAAGTTGAGACCAAGGTAGGTGAACTATCAGTGATTGAAATCCAAAGCATTGAATAATTTCATACAATCAAAGTGTGTTTGTTCATTAAGAGACAAGACAGAATTATTATTCAAGGAAGAATTAATTTCGAAAATTTCCAGTAAATCCAGTAAACTACCTTTTGGACAGACATGTAGAATTTTAAGGTCATGATTTGGATCGAAACTATGATGTGAATTCAGAATGTGGTTTGCAAAAGAACTTCTAGTATCATATTCATCAAATAAAAGGGAAGTATTCTTGGATTCTTCAATGATTTTAACATGTTCAGATGTTTAGTAACTCTGGTTAAAGTTTTTCTACCACTCTGTCCAACATATTGAGCATTGCTATTTGGATCAGAGCAAGAGATACAATATACTCCAGATTTGTGATTCAAAGGGACTTTATCTTTAGAATCAACGAAATTTTTTTGAATATTATCAACTGTGCAAAAAGATATGTTAATATCCTCACTATATCAATGAAAAATGTTTTTGATATCATACGATCGAGACTGTGCCAAGGAAAGGAATAGATGGAAAACGTATTCGGGGGTTTTGTTTTGGTAATAAGCTTCTATTGAAGGAATTATTTTGGTGTTTGTTGAACATCTTATCAATAATATGGGGAAGAAAACTATTGTTGTGTTCAATATGCTTTATAATATTCAGTTCCTGTCATACTTGATGAAACAGATTAACAACTCAAAGTCACTCACTTTCTAGAAACAGATGGTTTCATCAGCTTCACGTCAGACCCTACTACGAAATTCTTCAACAATATGAAAACCATGTTCAACACTTGTATTGACACCATCACCTTCTACAATTCTTCAAAAACCAAATTGACCCCAATGAATCGAGCCACTGTAATTCTCCAACTTCCAAACTTTCCAAACTGGCTTCTTGGTTGAATGGGTTGATCAAAGATCTTACCAATTTCGAAAATCCTCTCTCGTTGAAGAATTCCTTCGATCTCACTGAGCAAATTGAAAATTTCATCATTCCTCAAAATGCAATTTTGTTGTCATTTGATGTTGTCAACCTTTTTCCATCTGTTCCCTCTGAAGATTGCATATTCCTAGTACGCCAGTTATTGTTTGACTCGAGGTTTGACTCCAATATACCGACCTTTCATTGCTTAAATATTTGTTCACTGCTGGATACTGTACTAAAACAAAACTTCCTTCAGTTCCATAATACATTTTTCTTTCAGGTTTCTGGTCTAGCAATGGGCAGCAATTTGTCCCCTCTGCTGGCAGAAATATTTTTACACAACTTGGAGAATTAGCTAACTACCTCCACTCTGCATCATAAAACCTGCTTCTGATACCGTTACGTTGATGACTGTTTGGTTTTATTTGATGGCACATCACAAGAAGTCAACCTACTTTTGAATTTTCTCAACTTATTGCGCCCAGCTATAAATTTTAATATGGAAGTTGCAGTTAACGACTATCTCCCATTTCTGGACCTACTTATTTATATGAACAATTACACCTTTGATTTTTCCATTTACCGGAAATCCACACACACTGATTCTGTAATTCCGTTTATGTATTGCCATCCTAATCAACACAAATATGCAGCTTTCAATTCTTTATTCCATGGATTGTATAATATCCCTATGAGTCCAGAAAATTTTGAAAAGGAACTGAATATCATAAAGCAGATTGGACACAACAATGGTTTTCCTCCACATATTATTGATAAGATGTTCAATGAACACTAAAATAAATCCTTCAATGGAAGTTTATTACCAATAAAAAATACACGAATACGTTTTTCAAACATTCCTTTCATTGGCAAAGTCTCGTATGATATCAAAAAAAATTTCCATCGATATAGTGAGGATATTAACATCTCTTTTTACACAGTTGATAATATTTCGAAAAATTTCGTTAATTCTAAAGTTATGAAGTCCTTTTGAATCACAAATCTGGAGTATATTATATCTCTTGCTCTGATTCAAATTGCAATGCTCAATATGTTGGACAAAGTGGTAGAACAATTTCAACCAGAGTAACTGAACATGTTAAAATCATTGAAAAATCCAATAATTATAATAATAACTATTTGATGAATATGATACTAAAAGTTCTTCTGCAAACCACATCCTAAATTCACACCATAGTTTTGATTCAAATCATGACCTTGAAATCCTACATGTCTGCCCAGAAGGTAGGTTACTGAATTAAGTGGAAATTTTCGAAATTATTTCTTCCTTGAATAATAATTCTGTCTTGTCTCTTCATGAACAAACACATTCTGATTGTATAAAATTTTTCAATGCTCCGGATTTTAATCACTGATAGTCCACCTACCTTGGTCTCAACTTATTTCATGGTATTTCATAGTCAATGATTTTTCAGGTTTGCTCAACTCTCTCCTACATGCATCCCTCCTCCTGATTCCACATTCTTCAATAGTTATAATAGATATTGTTATTTGCCTATGCTCATGGTCTGAATTTCATGTCTTAGTCATTATCTCAATCATAGTCTCACCAAAGTGAATAGAATATTATTTCATCATATTTGGACCTTTATGCATCACAGTCTTTAGGCTTAAGAATTTGAGGATTATGATATGACAATTCACAGTGCCAAGAGATCCGTCAGTAGATAGGTAAAAAAACAAATTCAAGAGAGATGAAATGAAATCTATTTACCAGTCAATACCATGATCTGTGAAATTGATTCCCAGGAATTCTCTATTGCAATTTTATCTTTGTATTCTGAATCTTTCTTGTCCCAAAGATGGATAAATTTCCCAACCAAATCTATTAGGGTTCCTTCTTCCAGGCTCATGATTTTTTGATATATTTGTTATCAAATGTAATCAAATTATCAGAATGATGTAATCAATCATTGACACAGCACAGAAAGGCACTGATTTTTGAGTGATAAACATAAAAGTAGAGGTCATTTGTGATTTTTCGAATATGTTGACAGGTCTACACATGCGCTTCTCTTATG